ATTTATTAAAGCAAGCAGTGCAAATACGTGAATTTGGTTGGCATCAGCTTTTGCAGTCTACTGTACTGCAGAGCTCAAAGGGTAGGAGGGAAAAGCAGCAAGAAGAGCCAATCAGGTGTGCTGTAGAGCAGAAAATAACAGGCAATTTCTCCAAAGCGAGGGGAATTTCCCTCTTGGACAACTGTTACTGACACAGGTTTCCCCACTTGTTCTGGTGATAGTTGTAACATTTTAGATTTCCCTTCAGTCTCTGTCTAGGTGACAATGGTCAATTTCCATAGCAAGCTCACAGACAGCAAAGAAAACCCAATAAGGGTTCTAATCCTTCCATACTCTATACATAACAGATTTGGCTATATATACACTTTAATCAGGCCAATTAAAATGAATAATACATTTATGTACTGTATGTATTATGCATTTACGTGCATTTTTATCACATGCACCATGAAAAATCTCCATTCTCAATGTTTCTCCCTTACTTTGTGTAACATGTACAAAAACCTACATAAATGTGTGCCGCAATGTTCTTCCAAAAAGAATGTCACTGCATATGCATAGTTGGGAAATGGCCCTAAATGCCCTGGTTCTAGCAACCCACAGCTCGCCACGCCTGAGCGGGCATACAATACTGTTTTCTTTGGCAACTGGTGACATTGGCTTTAATTGATAGCATACTAAGCTGTGGAAAAAGCCCACAAGTCTACAATAGTACCCAGCATTCCTAAAGGTACAGGGTTTGGGGCTGGTCTGAAGTGTATGCATTGGGGCTGATTTGAGGTCTGAAATGCATGCATTGGGGCCTATTTGAGGTCTAAAGTGCATGCATTGGGGCTGATTTGAGGTCTAAAGTGCATGCATTGGGGCTGATCTGGAGTCTACAGGTTGTTGATTTAGGGCTGATCTGAGGTCTGAAGTGTATGCATTGGAGCGGATCTGAAGTGCATGCAATGGGGTTGATCTGAGGTCTAAAGTGCATACATAGGGGTCGATCTGAGGTCTGAAGTGCATTCATTAGGGTTGATCTGAGGTCTGAAGATCATGCAATTGGACTGATTTGAGGTCTGAAGTTTATGCATTGGGGCTGATTTGAGGTCTGAAGTGCATGCATTGGGGCTGATTTGAGGTCTAAAGTGCATGCATTGGGGCTGATCTGGAGTCTACAGGTTGTTGCTTTGGGGATGATCTGAGGTCTGAAGTGTATGCATTGGAGCTGATCTGAAGTGCATGCAATGGGGTTGATCTAAGGTCTAAAGTGCATACATAGTGGTCGATCTGAGGTCTAAAGTGCATACATAGGGGTCGATCTGAGGTCTGAAGTGCATTCATTAGGGTTGATCTGAGGTCTGAAGATCATGCAATGGGACTGATTTGAGGTCTGAAGTTTATGCATTGGGGCTGATCTGGGTTCTGCAGGTTGTTGCATTGGGGCAGATCTGAGGTCTGAACTGCATGCAATGGGGTTGATCTGAGGCCTGATGTGCATACATTGAGACTGATCTGAGGGCTGAAGTGCATACACTCAGGCTGACCTGAGGTCTGAAGTGCATACATTGCGGTCGATCTAAGGTTTGAAGTGCATGCATTGGGGCAGAACACATTTTGTGTTGTACTCAATTTTTGCACTCATAGTTGTACTGCTAATGGCAAGTTAAACTTATTAAGATTACAACACACAATTTTTCACTGCCATGCCTGTTTTCTAATGCTTGTGAACATGACACTTAAGGTGAAACAGGTTCATCACCCCTGCCCTATAAGGTTAATTGAACTTGTCTCAACAGTCATAGAGCAGTGATGCCAAGTGCATTCCTCAAAATATAGGTAACCATTGGAAGGAGCACTCTTTTAATGAGATACAATAATAAAAATATGGAAAAGAATAAAAGAAAAAATGTAAAAGGCGTGTCGAGAATTACTTTCAAGCAAACATTACAATTAGAACTCGTACACTGTTTTGCCCTTTTGAAGCAATATGCTTTTTTATCGGCCCTGCCGTCTTCAAATTGTGAAATAAAACTCTAGAAATCACACCTCATTCCCTGAATCATTTGTGTTTTATTGCATAAAATAATGTTGATTTTTATTCCATTGAAAAAATAAATATCTTGACATGATCACATTCCCATTAATTGCACATTGCTTCCCCCGTGTCAGAAGAAGGCTATTAAGACAGCTGTGGCAATTTATATTATAGACATATACATTCATTTTACCTGTCCGCTAAAGGGATGTCGCTAAAGGGTCAGTCCAACCAAAAGTAACATTTTAGATATATGTTGAGTCTGGTGGCCCGAGTCTTCTGATGGCTTCTCATATGTTTGGGACACTCCAACAGAGAAAGATCTCGGCGCCATAATTCTCAGGCCTATTTCCTGTCCATCTGCGGATTTTGGGTGTTCCTACCCATCTTCGTGTGGCAGGAACTGGGAACCTTGGCTCTGAGATCTCTCCGACATAGAGATAGAAGATACTGCAGGTAGTTTATATTGTCGACATCTTCCCAAAACTGAAGTATCAAATTTGGGTGGCCCTTTAAAAAGAGCCCGTCAAACAATTTAATTAGTCCACCTTATAGTTTTGTTTTAAAGTAGGCGCCACAATGAAAACCCATGTACAGTATACTTATGTCTTCCTAAATGATCATTTGCGTAGTTTGTGATACCTCTTAACCCAGCTATGCTCAGAAGATAGGGCTTGGAGTTTGCACCAACCCTGCCATCTCCCCATACATTCTCACTATGTATCTCTGGTATTGAGATGAAGTTGGTGTAGCGAGGAACAGTACTTCCCAAATATAAAGATAACTTGAGTTGAGTAATTCTATCTGAGCCAGAATAGAACACAACATACTTCATAGATCAGCACAAAGTTGCAAATAAATATCACATAACTAATTTCCTTTGAAGTTATGGATACCTGTACATAAATCTACTTTCATGTTTTGTTACCCCTAATTGGACGACTTTTAGTTTGCTGAGTAATATGTATCAGAATCAATTGTCCTGTGTTTTATCTTTCAGAAAATACTGTTCTTATTTTTTATTTTTTGGCTGCATCTCAGTGCTGTAGATCTCCTGCAGCCTCTTTCAAAAGTGTCCTGTCTACATCCCTTTGTTCGAGCAGCGGGAGTATGGTTTTGCTCTCTACTGGCTTCCTGGTATAACAGTGGATCATGCTTGCACAATGGGAGTTGGAAATGTAATTTAGGGCTCATTCACACCAGCAGTGTTGGGCAGTCCCAACACAAGAAAAGGGCAGTTTGCCTTATGTCCTATGGCTTCAGATCACATCAATGCATGCCCATTCATTATATTCAGTACCACACGAGTGCTGTGGTGTGAACAAGCCCTTATAGTCTCCACTGGAGGAGTATGCAACAGGGTGACAACACAGAAACATTTGAGAGACAGGGAAAAAGTATTGTCATCCTATAACAGGAAATGCCTGAATAAGGACCTTCGTGGCAGGAACCAGGTAATCCAGAACCATACCAGAATTCAAAAGACTGGAGTTATATTTATGTGTCAACGCTCATATGAGATTTTAGGGGTCAAGTTCACATCCGTTTTCCTTATGTCCTATGGTTTCAGGTCAGATCACATCAATGCATACATGGGTTATATGAAGTAAACGCATACTGTGATGTGAACAATCCCTCATAGTCTCCGCTGGAGGAGTATGCAACAGGGTGACAACACAGACGCATTAGAGAGACGGGGAAAAAATATTCTCATCCCAGGAAGTGCCTGAATAAGCACCTTTATGGCAGGAATCAGGTATTCCAGAACCATAGTAGAATTCAGAAGTTGAACTAAAGTTATATTATGTCAAAGCTCATATGAGATTGCAGGGGTTGAGTTCACATCTACTTTAAGCTTAGTGGTCCTTTAAAAGTCATCCCTGTCAAAAATGTATATTTCAAGTGTGTGGGGTTGTTGCCAAGTTGACTTTTCCACCAGAAATCCCAACCCTGGCCAACTGCTGTGGCCAGCACAGAAACAAATGATGGCATCCCACTGGATTGAATATTCCAGAACAAATTGTGGGGAGTGGAAACACAAGCTAGTATGGGTAGTTTGTGCCAGTTAAGTCACTGAGAGAAATCAGAATTTCAAGTGAGCGGGGTTGTTGCCAAGTTGACTTTTTGGCTACAGTTATATCTCAGAAACTCGGGTTCAATAGATTTCCACCAGAAATCCTAACCCTGGCCAACTGCTGTGGCCAGCACAGAAACAAATGGTGGCATCCCACTGTATTGACATTTCCAGAACAAATTGTGGGGAGTGGAAACACAAGGTATTATGGGTAGTTTGTGCCAGTTAAGTCACTGAGAGCTGAGAGAAAATCAGCATATCAACACACCACTGCCCCGCCAAAACTGATCAGTTTTGGATACAGTTACACTTTGTGGTGTATGTCAAAGGAATGCATTACAACAGCTAGAGGTAAAGTATGATTATCTTTTGTTTAACTTTAGGATCTTAGTTGCATGTAAGGCAGCATTAATAGGTTCCAGCAAACTGAGAGAATATTTTTTCTACAATTTTATGAGGAAAGCCACCTTAGATATTTGAAATTCAATTACACTTTTTACTCAGAAACTGCAATATATATTTTTTATAGATCTTAGAAAGGTCTAAATGTACTTGAATCAGCCCTTACCAATCAATGTTTTGTAAAGCTTCAACATACATACAATAATAGCCTTTAGTCCAAAACTGTATTTTAAGAAAATAATTGTAATCTTTTTTGTTTCTTCAAAAAATGTTTCCTTTATATTGTAACCTGCCATAGGAAGTACAAAATAAAGTAAAAGGCATCCAAGAATTCCATTGCTTGCCTCATCACGAATAGTCTCACCAACATTGATGAAAATTAAATTTAACATTGTTTGTTCTTGTGTATACAGGTGTAAATGAATGAGTGATCTGTTCATTTTAAAACTGTTTAGGCCGAGGAATGTTCATTGAATCCCGTTGGTTCACTTTCTTATACATGTGATAAGCCCAAAAGAGTGAGGAACGGGCAAAAACAAAAAATCCTTCATGCTAAGCCTTAAATTGCTGATTAAGTTTTTGCCTACAGTAACAAGCCACGGATCCGATGCCGACAACAGTCACCAATGAAACCAACACCACAGTTAAGATTATGACTGTATTCATGTTTTTTACATCGTCCTTTTTGCAGTTTTCTAAACTGTTCTGTCCTTGCATTATCTCCTCCTTCTGTCCATTGGACTTGTGGCACGTTGTGGCATCAAGAGCTGTAATAGTTACTGTGTTTCGTCTGACCATGTGGATGATCCAACTGTTTTCACAGCAGCTTAGTGGATTCCCAGTCAAAGAAAGAGTTCTTAATGTGTTCTCCAACACCGGGATATTGCTGTCCTTCAGATTACTGAAGCTGTTGTTGCTCAGATCAAGCGTTGCTAATTGACAGTTTCTGTTCCACGTAGGCAACCATGTCAAACGGTTTCCTGACAAGTTCAGATATTTTAATTGGACTAGAAGCGGAAGATCGATATTCAACTGGAAAATAGCATTGTCTTCTAAATGGAGAACTTCTAGTGAACTCTCCAACCCCTTCAAAGCGTTTTTTCCTATAGCAAGACCAAGGTTCCTGGAGACATCTAGAAAAGTCAAGGAGGTGCCATAAAATGCACGTTCAGGAATTACTTCTAACATGTTTTCTCTGAGGTTTAAATGTCGCAGGGATGAAATGTTGAGAAATGATATGCAACTTTCCCTTTTTATATTTTGTGTGGACATTTCCTTGCTCAGGCCACACAATTCAACATTATTGCTTTGAAGATTGATATAGACAATGCTGGGTATTCCTTGGAATGTTCTAGATTCAAGAAAGTGCAGTTGGTTATTTTGTAAGAGAAGTATTTTTAAATTAGGTAGAGAGCTTGCCCCAAGTGACATATTCTGTATGGAGTTGCCACTCAAATCAAGTTCTTCCAAAAAGTTCAAGATAACTACATGCCCAAATGTAAAGTTTTCAATGCAGTTCTGGCTCAGGTTTAAGAATTTTAGCATCGGCATAGTGCTAAAGAAATCTTCTGGTATATATTTTATATTATTGTAACTTAAGTCTAAATGGGTAAGCGTGAGCAGATTAACCATAGTAGTGTTTCTTGATTCTTCTTCTTCTTCCAACCAAGCAAGTTCATCATGAGATGCGTTTTCATCAAAACTTATAAGATTCATGGATAAATTTAAGGTAATGAGATTGTTAACAGTTGGCAAAATAGGAAAATGTACAAGTTTGTTGTCACTTAGGTCAACGTGTTTGAGATGGTATTCTTCATCTGAATCCGATGTATGGAATGTCTCAATGCTATTTTTGCTGAGGTTGAGGCTTTCAAGCTGACGAAGGTTATATCTGGATATGCAAGTGATGGAGTTCATGACCAGATTAATTTTCCTGAGATGCAAAAGGTGGTCAAAAGAGCCCTCCTCAATGTCCATTATAATATTATTACGAATGTCTACCTCCGACAAAAGAGGGGTTCCTGAAAAGGTTTCTAGGGAAATCACCATGATGCTGTTACCTGCTAATGAAAGATAGCGAAGGTGGGGGGCATTTTGTAAAAAAAATCCTGTCATGTGTTTGTACAAGCTGTTTCTTGACAGGTCCAGCATTTGCACGTTTGGTAAAAGTCCAATTCCTGGTGACTTAAAGTCGACAAACTTGTCCAAATTGTTGTCAGAAAGATTGATCTCCTTCAAGTAGACCATGTTCGTGAAGGTGTCTGGTTCAATGAAACTTATTTCATTGCTGCTAAGGTCCAGGATCTCCAGAAAGGAATAGAAGGACAATGGGTGTTTGGTGATGTTCCTCAAGTTGTTCCTTGATAGGTTGAGGGACCGAATGCCTTGTTGAAGTTCCATTGGAACCTGATGCAGATACTTGTTCTGACATGATGCTACCATCTTTGTCTGGTGGAAACAGAAATATTGAGCAGATGAAAAAAAACACGATAATGATAGAATGAGCATGACATTAAACATTTTCATGCACGAATACTATAAAACTGAACAACTCAACATTCTTGATTGCCTAAATTCTGAAATTGCACGCGTCTCCTCTGATAAGACACATCAACTTAGTCATTCAGATGAAAAGCAAATTGATTTGAAGTTCTCCTGATTCAACAATAACTATTTATCAAATTTAAGGTTGAATCATTTTTTTTATTAGCATATTTCACAAGATTCAAACAATTCGTCACAGAATATAAAACATGAGAAATAAGGCATTGGGAGACCTTAAAAAAATCACACAATATCTGTGGTCCGGCAGTGTTACCCTGAGATAACAAACATAGGCTCTTAGGTACATCAAAACATCCTATAGGGGTCTGATGCCCAGAGATAGCTCAAAAACAAATGTTGGCTATGAGCAGAATTCTGCTTGGTCAGGACAGACCCAGAGACCTAGCATCTCCATAACTTGATTAGTACCGTGGACGAATGGTGCAAACCTCTTTAACAGTATAAAAAGGGTATTAAGAGGATAGACAGAAGTTAGAGAATAGAAAAGAGAAGTGCGGGAAAGAGA